CTCTCCCTCCCTCTCTCCCTCTCTGTGTGTATAATAAACATATTTTCAGTAGTGCCTTATTAAGTGAAAAGTTTGTTTCATTCTAGTTTTTCAGTGATGCCAAGGAGGCTCTGGATTACTTGAAGAATTTACGAGATGCAGTACATCGAAAATACAATTGTGATAGATCCAGCAGCATTCATAAACTAGAAGATATGATCCAAGAGTCTATGGTAGGAATGCGAATACGTTAGCTGATTTTACTCCTCAAGTATGTGTTAATACTTTCTAAGATATTATGCCTTTAGCCAGGATGATGCATGCGTATGCGCACACACAGAGACATGTGTGCAGTGTCTATTAGCAGAACCTTTTCTTTAATTGAGAAGAGGCATTCCCTGTAAAAACAAAGGTAGTTTGCATTCATTAATTTTCAGTATTGGAAGCTTATTAAACAGCCTGTATGAATCAAGCTATGCCCAAAATAACCATTATTCTTGAAACTGGAACGAATAAACCTAAATACTTGGGTGAAATTATTTCAAATTGATCATAGCTTGCCTTGTTCAAGAACTGTTGTCATTTCTGCCAAATACGACTATAATTATTAGAGAATAGTAATTATTGTACAAAGCCTCATTCCTTAAACTGATTCCCTCCTGATGTGTTGCAACAACGGTTACTAGGATTCCAGCCATATGAGAACCCTGAGAATGGGAAATAATCTCTGCAAATCATCAATTTGGAAAAGGCTGTCAAAAATGTCCCCAATTGTGCCTCTTGTGAATTACATCTTCGAAAAGAAACCAAACCAGAAAAAAAACCCAAGAAAACCTAAAACACTTCCAAGAAAAGGGTGCTTAATTTTTAACTGCTTTCAATATGTTTCTTCTTTAATTTGGCATCCAGGAAGAAAAAGAACAGCTCCTGCAGTACAAGAGCACCGTGGCAGGCCTTGTGGGTAGAGCAAAGGCAATAGTTCAGCTAAGGCCGAGGAATCCCGAAAATTCCCTAAAAACGTCCATCCCAATTAAGGCCATCTGTGACTATCGACAGATCGAGGTTGGAAGCTTTTACCATCTTCGAATCAGTTAATAATAATAATACTAGTAAAGTTGGAAGGGACCTTGGAGGTCATCTAGTCCAACCCCCTGCTCAGGCAGGAAACCCTATACCATTTCGGACAAATGGCTGTCCAGTCTCTTCTTAAAAACTTCCAGTGTTGAGGCATTCACCGCTTCTGGAGGCAGGTTGTTCCACTGGTTAATTGTTCTAACTGTCAGGAAGTTTCTCCTTAGTTCTAGGTTGCTTCTCTCCTTGATTAGTTTCCATCCGTTGCTTCTTGTCCTGCCTTCAGGCGCTTTGGAGAATAGCTTGACTCCCTCCTCTCTGTGGCAGCCCCTGAGATATTGGAACACTGCTATCAGTTATGGGGAGGAAGAAGACCCTGGGCTGGGTATTGATAACAAACTCCTGGAAGTCTCCTCCAGAGCTTATTGCCACAGTTGGGGACTAAATCAGTTTTACTTCGTTCTTTTGTCACTTTTTTGTTGTTGCATCAGTTGTTGACAGAGGTGCTTTGAGAAAGGCTTATTCAGTTGTTCTGGTTTTCTGTTAACAACTAGATAACCATTTACAAGGATGATGAATGTGTCCTGGCAAGCAACTCTCATCGAGCAAAATGGAAAGTGATCAGCCCAAGTGGCAATGAGGCCATGGTTCCCTCTGTTTGTTTTACCATCCCTCCTCCCAATAAAGAAGCCATAGACACTGCAAATAGGTAGGAAATTACATGCACCAAACCCATATTAATGTCACTTGCTTTTTAAAATCATTCTGAAAAATGTATGCAGTTTAGGAAATTTAGTACCAGTACATTCTGAAGACTGTCTTGTGTGATATCGCTAACATGATCCCCTTGCGTTTTATGCATTTCAGAATTGAGCAGCAATATCAGAATGTCCTATCTCTGTGGCATGAGTCACACATAAATTTGAAAAGTGTAGTTTCTTGGCACTATTTAACAACTGAAATTGAAACTGTTCGAGCAAGTAATGTCGCTTCGGTAAGTTCTTTGTGTATTCCAACTCTCATTTGGATAACTAGTTAGTTCCCCACTCCCCACCCCACCTGAGCATTCAGTATTTCAGCAATATGACCTTACAATGAAGAATTTACATTTTACCATTACAATGACATGTAAAGATTGAGAAGAGCTTCATATTTTATATAGCAGACATGATGCTAAACATGTACCAATATTACATTGGAACTTGCTATAAAAATGCTAAAAAAATACTGACCTGTGACATTATCCAGTAGATGTGGTACCATGGATGTTTGTCTTTATGCACTGTATGTGTATACTGTGGGCATTGTATTCCTGAGAGGCACCTTTCTATAGGAGATGACCAAGCTGAGCCTGAGGGAGGGATCAAGCGCATCATCAGTCTTGAGTCCCTTCATGCCCACAAGAGATCAAGTCCAGCCCACCTTGACTTCCATCGATTCTTATCTCCCGCTAATTTCCCTTGGCTGTTAGTAGTTCAGATTTTTGCAGAGAGCTTAGC